GTGTCTCCACAGGACTACCTGTATCTCCACAGGGTTTCCTGTAACTCTACGAGGCTACCTGTGTCTCCACAGGACTACCTGTGTCTCCACAGGACTACCTGTATCTCCACAGGGTTTCCTGTAACTCTACGAGGCTACCTGTGTCTCCACAAGGCTTCCTGTGTCTCCACAGGACTACCTGTATCTCCACAGGGTTTCCTGTAACTCTACAAGGCTACCTGTGTCTCCACAGGACTACCTGTAACTCCACAGGACTACCTGTAACTCCACAGGACTACTGTACCTGTAACTCTATAGGACTATAAGCAATGCAGATGTATCAATGACAGAGCCAGCTGGAGTCATAACAGAGTTCAATGGTACAGTCAATGATACCAAAACCACTGCTGGTAAAAATACAATAAGCAACATACTGCGAAATCTAAGAGGAGGGACAGTTTTAAAATGTCTTTTAAAACTTACTTCAGAATGTTTGATTTTAAAGCACATTTATTAAAACCAGTCGATTTCAATCAACCACCTGGAACGTCTGGAAGGAGGAGCGTCTGACCCTCCATTATGATCTGTCAGCAGGCCAAAAAGATATGCAGCTCATATAAATGGGACCTTTCTCATCATCTCTTTCATCCTGGAAACTACTTCCTAAAAAAAGTCTTTAAATGCATGACCCGCATGCCATCCAGAGAGAGGTTTGTAAGATGCTCACTCTGCACTCTACACTGATTGAGTTACTCTCGCCTCATCGCTCATTCCTCACCCCCTTTTATCAACCTCTGTCCCTTTAGGATTCAGAGCTTTTACTTTACTTTAATTCAATCTGCTACATTATTATGTATATTGCCTGCATTATACTTAATACTCAAAGTACAGACAGGGGACACATATATTATTTTGATTATATGCCACATAATGATTATAAAACTCTCAATAGAGAGATGCTTTCTTAGTAGAGATATATCTTTGCTTCTTTCAGATTATAATATACATCAATTGTTGTAAAACCAAAAGTTATGGTGCCTAAACTAAACAGAAACCCCGAAACTCTGAGACCCCAAATCTTAGCTTGACTTTCTCAAACAGAGGTGACATAAGAGTTGCGAAACCACCCTGAAAGACTGAGTAAACATAATAGAAACGATGTCAGTCAAGTGCAGATGTTTCACTTGTTTCTACGCCTCCTTGAACCATTGGATAGGGGGAGAGAATTGATCCAATTCTGAGCTTTGGGCACTGATACACGATTGGTGCTTTTTACAGAGCAGGTGCACTTGATTCTGTCAAGGATCTGATCCGTGATTGGTTAATTCGATTCATTTTCTTCCTGTGTGTCCTAGATAATGCCTGATATGACCGCACTGGAAAGGCTTCCGCCAAGAATTTTGGTTCCATTTTAGCTAAATTCCACATCAGCCACAATCATATGCTTGTTTGCTTTCTTTTGGTGATACTGTATGATTCTCTCTACGTGAATCGTGACCTATATCTCCTTTTTCTTGCTTATATTTGTTTCAGTACCCTGATATTGTAATATGTAGTGACTGTTTTCCTCCAGGATCTTAGCACATTTTTTTATTATTATCTGTCAAAGTAAATAGGGCAGCAATCTCTGTTTCATTTCTTTTGTTCATTCCAGATATATAGCAAGAAATCTTTATCTAATAAAAAAATAAAGATAAAATATAAATAAAAATTTAAAAAATCAACTAAAATGCAATCTAATTTTGCACAGTCTGGATATAATTATATAGGTAAACATATTATATATAACTGAATAGAATTAGCAGGACCCAAAGTGTGAAAATGAATGTTGTCACTTAAATTCATTTTTTCTAATGATTATTTGTTATCACAACAAGCACACTGATGGCATTAGAATGAAAACATCATTAAAACAAACAAATCAGAGGAAATGCAGCTGCATTGTGCAGATTAAGTCAATGCCAGTGTCACTCAGACTGGCAGTGTTTGTCACCCGTTTTTAATTATTTGTTTCTAATTTGTGTAGGTAGCCGACAGACGCCCCGCGATGAGCGTCTCTCCATTGTACATGGCCGCCCTCAAAGACATGCTCTCACCTACAGGGTTCCTGCTTTATTGATCTCATTACTCCCATTGCTGAGCTCTTATGAAATCAATGCCAAAAAGATATTTTCTTGTACATTCTTATTAAAGCAGCATTTCAGTTTAAGATCTTATATCTCACATATTTTACAATGAACACTGGCACACAAGGGAATCGATGGCCATTTTTCTGACTAACGTAAGAGGTTTGACCAGCTCTGAACGTATGTTTTCTGTTGATTATTCATACAAATGAAGTTTTTTTTCCTCATGTCTTATTTTTCTATCTAAAATGTAGGTGCCATTTATTGTCTTGTCATTATTACTGCTTGCTCCATCAGCTCTGAAGATGTTTCAGCGGTAGTTATTGACTAACATCCCAGAATAAGTTGGCTTTAAGACAGAATCTACAGAAGGAGCAGGCAGACAATAGACAGACAGACAGACAGATTAAACGTGCACCAGTTTCTCCTAACTGAATTATGTAACAGTAGGAGTTTATAGGATTGTGGTTTTATTCTATACACTTAGTTCATCAAATTATTGTGGTCACAAAAAGCTGCTATAACAGCTGTACAAAAGCACTACATCGATTACTTTTTAAGTAGACTGTCTCTCAGTATATGTTTACGTGCAGTTAGTTTTAATAGGAGTTGAAGTGTGTAATGTTTGCTAAACATGTGCAGTTAATGTATTTAAGGGCTTTGTTTCGTTGTAGTCCTGTTCATTGAATACATTTAAAAGTTTTCCACAAGAATTGCAGATTGGAGCATAAATATTCATTGAGAGTACTCCAGTTTCCTTTCAAATACCTATTAAATTGCTGGCTACCTATAATTTACATTGCAAAAAGTATTGTTTATTAGAAACATTTAATTCATATGATTAAAAAAGTGTTTTCAGTTGTGAAACATCGAATACCTTACTTCAGAATTGCAGGCGAACTTTCACTGCAGACAGACCCTCTGGCTCTTTGCATGTGAAGTGATTGGTTGCTTTGTAATAGATATTATCCAGTATTTCTGTATAAGCTGAACAACAGGTAACATGTATGTGTATTTATTAAGTCTGAATTCTAATCTGCATGTAAACTCTGCAATCTTTGTATACAGCACAAACAAATGCTCCAAACCGTTGCTTGCAAGCCATAAAATAAACAGCCAAATGCTAGGTACTGAAAGCTAGTTTAACTGTGAAAATGGGCTAAACCTTGAATCTAACAGCTACGTGCCAACAGGAATTTCAGTTCAATTTCCACAGTTAAACCAGACCACAGTCTCTGTTTCTGTGACTGAATGAGTTCACTGGATATACAGTGATGGCTGAAGCTTTGTGCTTTTCACCTCTGTTTTTGTCAAATTCATCCACACCCAGAAATAACCGGTGAACCCTTACAAAAGTAGAGAAGTACTGCATTACTCACCGTTACTAAATTAACTGCATTAAAGTCACTATGCCCTTTGGAATAAGCATTAAGAATAACTGAAAGCTGAAATAACCAGATAGAAAAAATAAGCATTCTAATATTTCTTTCACTGCCACTTTTCCTTCATCATAATGAATGTAATATTACTATCATTACAGACCGGAAGGATCAGAATGAGTAGACACCCAACTAAGACCATTACACTGCAAACGGTTGACTTTAGCCATAGAGCAGCCTTTCAAAATACTTTAGCTGGCTAGATTAAACTTCACCATATACTCCCTGAGAGATATTACCCCTACCCATTTGGGTACAAAACAGAGACAAAACAATGTAAAACATGTGTAATTACCTCCAAACCTGCATCAGTGATCGTGGATCTCTTGAGACTGACAGACTTGACTCCCTTTTTCGATAGGGGGTAGTTGTCGATGAACTCGCAAATGTCCAAGTCGGAGACACCGACCAGGCAGAAAGCCTGGAAGCCCCTCAAGGCAAATCCCTGGAGGCTGACGAACTCCTTCTCCCCATTGGGTAGCAGATTGTAGAGTTCCTTAGCGTGGAGCACAGGGGTGATGCCATCCCAGAACTTGGGCTGATATAGCACTTTCCTCCAGGTCTTGCACACCTGGGCCAGAATGCACTTCTCGGCCATGGTGAAGTAGCAGAGCAGCCGGTTCAGCACCTTCTCATCCAGCACCAGCTGCCTCTCCAGGGAAGACATGGACAGCTGTTGACGAGACAGCTGATCGGCGGCGGCGTTCGAATCGGAGCCCAGCAGGGAGGCCGCCGACGGAAGGGGCTCCATGTAATATGGCAGAGTCGGGGGAAGCAGAATGGTGGGCACGGAGGATGATTGGCACAGGCGGTTCTTGGCAGCCGGCGTCCCTTTGGTGATGCTGGCAGAGCCTAGGCCGTTAGCCTGAGGCGGCAGTTTCACCATGCCGTTCCTCGGCACGCAGGGGGACTTCAGGTCGTTGGGGGTGGACATCTTAAGCATTTATAGCTGACGGACAAAGAATACGGCAAGAACATAAGCAACTCGTAGTAAACTGAAGATGAAGACGAAGGGCATAGCTGACCGCTCTATTGAGGTCATTTATCACTACACATATTGAATATTGAGCAATAATTTTGATCCAAATTGCTGCCGAAAGTGACCGAAAACAAAACGCTTACCAAAAGCCAACGCAAATATCATGTTAAACTGAAAGAAAAAACAAGTGGCTCAATCACACTGACTCACAGGTGACAGTAAGACTGATGGCCAGTATACCAAACTGCCTGTGAAGCAACTTTAATGGTATGTGTGGAAAATATCAATTATACTCCTGTAAGAATGCTACTGCAAAAACTGTATGTATATGAAGAGTCAAAGGGCTTTTCTTCTAGCTAGATCTAATGCCACAGTTACTTAAAATAATTTATGATAAAATTAAGGCTGGCAGTCTTGCCCTAAATACATGTGTTTCAGGAATTTAACATCAGTAACGCTTAGATTTAACGCAAAACATACATTAAAATTGTTAAAAACAACCAATCGCTCATCCTGGGTTGTGGTTTTAGTCCCCACTAGTTGCTCTGGGTGGGAACAGTTTGACGTTCTGTTCGTTTTTGCACCAGACTTCCTCAAGAAGAAGCGGACTGATGTCTTGGTATTGCCAATCATGGGTGAGTGTGTGTCCTGCAATGGTCTGGTGTCCGTTGTGTTGTGTCCTGGGATAGGCTCCCTGTTACCCTGTACTAGATGAACAGTTCGGAAAGTAGCTAGGTATAGTTATACAACAGCCATTTTTACGCCCCTATAGCTAAAATGTATCATTTTAGACACCAGAATCATTATTTATGGACAACTGTCTAACAACCAGCTGTAGAGTTAACGTCGTACCTATCAATTGTCATGTCTTTTTACTGTTGCTATCCTTTGTCTTTCAGTGCAGAATTAATATTTAATAAAGGCTTAGAAAGATTAATTGCTAACAGATGTAGAAAACAATACTGTATCTTACATCACACTTCAAAGGGAACATATGTTTTTCAAAATAAGTGGGGGTAGTTTAAATAATATATAATATAAAGTTGAATTTCATTTAGATGGTCATTGGCAGTGCAAATGGTGTATTTATAATATATATACTGTAGAACCAGATACTGAAATTGGAAATATTTAACATAATACCTAACAAATGTCTCTGATTTGGTCTCTGTGCATGGTTCTGTAGATTCTCATGTTCTCTGTCATATTTACGGTAGTAGTACTAATAATGCCTGCTGATTTTCAGTAATACAAATATTATACACACACACTCACACTTTCATCCGTTCTTGGTCTATGCTAGATGACAGCATGAGTATTCAGCATGTATACGCTGCTCCTTCAGGGTATTTTGTGCTCTTGCCTAGACTCCTGCTACTTACCTCTTTATTGCTCAGATTATTCATGGGGGACAGAGGGTTATAGTAGTAGGCAGTTAGTTATGGGGGACCTTCTCTGTTACTGTAAGTAAAGCTATATTGATATGCTGTTTTACAAAGGCAGGAAACGTAGCATCGCATATTATGTGCAGGGTTAAGGCAGTGAATGTTGACACAAAAATGTTCCATGGACCTTCAGTACAAATGGGCACAGAAATGTCTTCTGGTGACATCTGGGTGTGAAATTTTCCTGGATATCAAGGAGCCATTTCACTTTTCAAAGAAAGCCATGCAGGTCCTGTTGTACTGGCGATATATTCTCTGCGGTTAAAAATAAATATATATATATATATATATATATATATATATGGGTGGAATTCCAATTTAATTGCATCCTATATATAGGACTTATTTAGTGCTACACCGATGATAAGGAACGATTTAACCAAGCTGATATTAACGTGCACTAGGTAATAAAATTGGACTTCAGAAATATTTATATTTTCAAGTTATTTAGACCCCAATCCCCAGTACAGTTTACAGTGACATTTCCAAATAAAAAGTATGACTGTAGTGCGTTAATTTACTGACAGCTGCAGTCTGATATTTCTAAGGGTGCGATCTAAACAATCCTAAGGCAATTACGTAACAGTGGCCGAAGTTCCCGGAGTATAAGGGGTATGTATCTTCTGCCTACTTAATTCATCAAAGATATTGAGGTAAAATAACAATAATTACAATAAGAAGGAAAACAGTAAATTATTTTTATGCAGTTTCTTTAGGTAAATCTTCGCCTGTAGTGTTTAAAGATGGTGTATTACGTCTCATAAAAACATTTTTTTCCGTTCCTAATTTGCTTACCACTTGGTAATGGTCCCTTTTCCCCCTCTTTTCCAAGCCCACTTGCCTTGCTTAATTCGGGTTAAATTAAGCAATAATTACAGTATATGAGTGAAATAAACAACATTATGAGTATAGCTCAATATGGGCGCTTACATCACTTTTTCCATTGTTTATTTTTTTACACGGCAAGCATTAGAAGTAATTTGCGACACGTCTTTTCTTGTAATATATTGGCTCTCATAGCCAAATGTAGGGAGCTCCGACAATTTAGCAGAAAAGGAAGCAGCATCCGTCGGAATACAAACGAAAGAAAAATGCATTTCGGGATTTATTAAAGACGCGTGTGTCATTATGATCATTTACAGCAGTACACCCCCCGCCCCCATACCCTCCCCAAAAAAAGCATCAGTGCATTAGAAGAGTACCTTAAACAAATGAAAATGAATATGGAAATACAGACATTGTACGCGGGTATGAAATTAGAAGGCACGGCTGCGGCCGCTCCATACATTTGCAGCATCAGATCCCTTTGTTCGGCGTGCGTCAGTGCATACTGGAATCAAGCCCTTATGTCATGCAGCAGCCGCAGCCGTGCGAGGGATGAATGGCTGATCTCATGTAGCACGGAACAAAAATACATCCTCACGGTGCGCCTCCTGTGCTTTTCTTACCTTGAAACAATACCCCCGCCGCTTCCGGATGTGTCTTCGCGCTGTGTCTTTATCTCCTGCCCTGGGGTCGATCTGAAATCGCCATGTTATTACCTTCCATCGGGGATCGTAGGGAGATGTTATTCTGGATGTTGGCGTGCCTGTCCTCACAGCAAAATACGCAGAAATCAAGAATGGTGCGGATATACGCATACAACGGAATCGTAAAGTATCGATCAAAGTGGATGATCCGTGAAAGAATTAGCTGTTTCAATCTCTAGCTGATATCGCCGGTGTATTTATATCCTCGACTGATGCCCAAAAGGACTTAAAACACGATATCAACATCCCCATTGACAGCGGAACCCAGAACAGCCCACTCTTAAAGCTGTAGTATTTCTTTTTTCAGCCGTGAATGCCACAGCCGGTGACAGATATTTCAGGCGATCAAAGGCACTCCTACTCCTGCTTGAACAAACCTTTATACAATTAGCATAAGACACGCCTATAGGCCTTCATATTTTATTTCTGCAAAAACAAAAACGGCAGCTGGCATTTGAGACCTATTGAATCGTAGATCACTCACTGTATAGCTTACAAAATGCTTGTGTGTGTAGAATTTGCATGTTCTCCCTTCGTGCACATGGGTGTCAATTGGGTGTTCCAGTTTCCACCCACAGTTGAAAGACACATGTAATTTAGGTATATCATTGTCTCTCATGGGTTACTGTATAAAGGACTGGCATCCTTTTGAGGATGTCTTATGCTATGTGCCCTGTGGTCTCTAGTATGTGCCTGACTCATCACATCCCTGGATGGATAAAATATTTCTAACAAGTTCCAAGCACCTCACACCTTGTTTGACATTCCGTGGACGCAGTCATGTGGGGAAACGTGGTCTTCTTGATGCTCTCCATTGATCAAAGGTGTATGATGTAAAATGTTAGAATCTTTAAAAATACCACATAATATTATTGTCTGTTATCAGTTTTAGCAGGATCAGGTGTGCTGCTAGAGATTTTGGGCCTGAGAAAGCATATAATATTGGGTCCCCAACCCAGACTAATCCAACTATGTTCCAAATTTTTTTGGGCTCCCTAAAATTGTCCTAACCCCCCTGCCCCCCATCCTCCCATTACTGAACCCCTTACCAGTATGGTACTGAATTGTCTTCCAAGCCAATATTGTAGCAATCTTCCTAATGTATAGCACTGATCCTAGCATGAGGGTACGTTGGCCTGTCGGTGGGGGAGGTTGTAATGTGATTCACCTTGCCAACAGTGTTCACCGAAGTCTCTACATAAGTATCATAGTTTCATGTCCTCCTAACAAGCAGAAAGCCAGCATCTAATCAGATCTGTAGAGTAAGTGGCAATCATTGGGATACAGACCTAAGCCATTCTTAGGAAGGAAACGCCAAGCGGCACACATACTGACATTGTTTTCGGCAGCCCTTCAGCTGGTCACTTAGTGCAGTTTCGATTCTACCTGTGGCTTGGGACCTCCTCATCATCACCGTACATGGCTGACGTAGAGTGCAGTGTCACAGTGATCCTGAAATCTATCTCAGGAAGTATCAGGCTGTCTCCAGATGGGAAACCATTCCATCACAGGGTAGTTTAGAGAAACCAGTTATCTAAACCAAATATTTTGGGGTTAAAGGATGAAGAGTACTGGAAGTCCATACACAAATCCATACATGCACAGAAATAAAGCAGACAACTGTGAAGTTGTGAGGTTACAGTGCTACCCACTGTGAAATAAATATCTGTTTCAAAACAAAATGCCTGTAGTATAATTCTGTATTTACTTTATGTTAACTGCATGCAACTCTAATGTTTGTGTTCAAAATATTTTGCATAACTTTATAAGCACTCTGTCACAACTGAACCTAAGGAGTTTAGTAAACACATATTTTTGGTTCAAGCTGTGACAAGATACAGACACAAAGTACCCTAAATCAGATCATCCCAACCACACAGGCAAGTTTTCATCTCTGTGGTCCCTGATGGTCTTGGGGTGAACTCCACAGGAAACGTGGGGGCCGTGATGCTGCTGACTGGATGGATAGCTCTGAGAGGAGGTGCGCTGGAAGACGACGTGTGGATGACTGGGAGCGACTGGAACCAAGACACGGGGACCAGGAGAAAAGACAAAACCTCACAAATGAATTAGAGAACCAATGTCGTTCTGACAAACAAGACAGGAACAATGGAAACAAAACCCTGAATGACAAGAAGAGGGAACCATAGAACTGAATCAGTGTAAAGCTCTCTGTGCAGTACCTGTCAAATCCCGGACTTTGGGGTTCAGTTTAAGTCCCAATGACTCACCCCTGGATGAAACGCCAGGGGACCAAAAGTGCACCACACACATAGATCAAGCCTTGGCGGTATTATTAACAACACATGACAAATGTGAGCTAAAAGGTTAAAATGCATTACATACTTATCATTTCAAAAATCAACACATCAACTGAGGAAGTATAAATACATGTCTTAGAAAAATATTTATATTTTGTGCTAAGTTCCCATTGAGCTGAAATTATTCAAGTTATCTAGCTATAATACCCAGCTAATGTGAAAAAGCCAGATAATGTTTATGATACCTATGGAGCTTGCTGTGTAGTAAACTGATGGCTAATGAAAGTGTTTGAATCATTCCTACCCATTGTGAAACAAACGCGAGTCTATAGATCTGAGGTAGGGCCTCATTAAAATTGATTAATGTGTACGGCTGAGTTATAAATGGAATGGGATGTTTTTTTCTCGCCAATGTTACATTTTTCATCATGACTACCTGTGAAAATCATGTCTCAGGAGTTGAGTCAGGGTGTTGATATGCCAATGATTTGTGTTCATTTGCAAATCAATTAGAAGCAGGTAATAAAAACAGAGGGAGAATTAGGCAGCTGGGAAGAGACTTCACAACTGACTCAATACTACAACCCCGTTTCTAAAAAAGTTGGAACGCTGTATAAAATGAAAATAAAAACAGAATGCAATTATTTGCAAATCATATAAACCCGTATTTAATTGAAAATAGACCGAAGACACCATATTAAATGTTAAAACTGAGAAATCCTATTGCTGTATGAAAAACATGCCCAATTTGAATTTGATGGCAGTAACATGTTTCAAAAAAGTTGGATCAGGGGCAACAAATGACTGGAAAAGTTGTGTGATGCTAAAACAAAACAACTCGCTAAATATCTCAGAGCTATTTAGGTTAACTGACAACAGGTCAGTAAGGTGATTGGGTATAAAAAGAACCTCCCAAAGAGCCAGTATCTCTGTGCAGTGAAGATGGGGAGAGCTTCACCACTCTGTGAAAAACTGCGTGAGCAAGTAGTGCAACAGTTTAAGACTAATGTTCCTCAATATAATGTTGGTAAGAATTGTGGGATTTCATCATCAATTGTACATAATATCATTAAAAGAATATCCAGAGCAATCTCTGTATCTAAGGGACAAGACTTTGTAGTCTTAGTTCTATTTTCAATCAAACATGGCTTTATATGATTTGTAAATTGCATTCTGTTTAAATTTACATTTAAATTTACCATCCAGCTTATTAGCAGACAGTTCAAAAGCCAGCATCCGCGATGGGATGGGGGTGCATTAGTGTCCATGGTTTGGGTAGCTTGGACATCTGGGAAGGCAGCATTAATGCTGAACAATATACAGCTTTTGGAGCAACACTTGCTGCCATCCAGACAATGTCTTTTTTAGAGAAGGCTTTGTATATTTCAGCAAGAGAATGCCAAACTGCATTCTGCGCGTATTACAACAGCATGGCTCTGCAGTAGAAAATTCCAGGTGCTAGACTGGCCTGCCTGCAGTTCAGATCTGTCACTCATTGAAAACACTGGGCACAACGTGAAATGAGAAATATGACAAAGGAGACCATGAATTGTTGAGCAGATGAAATCATATGTTAGGCAGAAATGGGACAACATTTCACTTCCAAAACTCCAGCTACTGGTCTCCTCAGTTCCCAAAAGTTTACAGAGTCCCATTAAAAGAGGTGATGCAGCATAGTGGTAAACAAGCCCCTGTCCCAACTTCTTTGAAACACGTTGCCAACATCAAATTCAAATTGAGCATATATTTGTCATAAAACAAAATTTCTCAGTTTCAACATTTGATTTGTTGTCATTGTTCCATTTTCAGTTCAGAATGGATTGATTTGTAAATCTTTGCATTCTGTTTAATTCTGTCTGACACAGCATCCCAGTTTTGATGGAAACACGGTTGTGCATTTTGTTCTCTAACACGAATTTATGAAGAAAGATTTGGATGTGATATTCTCAAAAATAAGGCAAGCTGACTTCAAAAGTAACTAATATTAATTACAATGTTTAAATATCAAAATTTAAAACCTTCCTCTTAAAAGAAGTTTGTACATTAATCTGTATGTAATGGTACATAATTGGAAATTGTGTAATTGTAATTGATTAATGACTCTTCAACTTTTGAGTGCAGACAATGAGTTATAACCTCAAATGCATTGTTTATTCACTCAACATGATGCAGCATTCTGTAACATCTAATAAGAAAGAAACATGTGTAAATGTCCTATATCCTACTTGAACCTAAAATAACATTTTATTGAATTACATAAATAATGGCTCAAACTGCTTTACTTGAATACTTAAAAACCAATTATTTTTACTTATGGATAATAAAAATTACATAATATAACATAAACCTACATAATTACATAATTCTGGCTGTAATATTTTTTTTTGTCATCCAGAAGATATGTATAAGATCAGTGGAGCTTTTGTTGCCATTAAAAACACTAGACAGGTGATCTATCTAATTTTCCAACGATACTGGGAAACGCTATTAATACCACAAAATTGATCGTTATAGGAACGCCATAATAATGGTTATGCCAGAGTAAAGGGTAACAGATGCAGCCTGACTTCTCAGCAGTCGCTGGATGTAAAACTCATAGTGCTGCCGCATAATCAGTGTCCTGATTATGAATGCAGGCCAGTGTCTACCTCACACTGTGTTTCACAGGCCAGTGTCTACCTCACACTGTTTCACAGGCCAGTGTCTACCTCACACTGTATTTCACAGGCCAGTGTCTACCTCACACTGTTTCACAGGCCAGTGTCTACCTCACACTGTGTTTCACAGGCCAGTGTCCACCTCATACTGTGTTTCACAGGCCAGTGTCTACCTCACACTGTGTTTCACAGGCCAGTGTCTACCTCACACTGTGTTTCACAGGCCGAGCTTCTCTGTCTAGAGATGCAGGTGACTCAGTGACTGGCTGACAGCGGTTTGGGGCTGAGTTTGTTCATTAGCTTCATTTGAAACTGTGGATGGAAGATGAGCTTCATTGTGCCGAAGACTGATGGACAGAACTTTGTTTAAGCCTATGTATGAATATGTGTGAATATTTTATTTATATATATAATCATGATACCAGGCACCCATAGTGAAAACAT